CGCCGCCCGGAGCGCCCACCGCCCGCATCCTGTTCCTCACGGACCTGCACTGGGACCGGCAGTACGCGCCGGGCAGCGCCGCCGCCTGCCCCGACCCGCTGTGCTGCCGCGGGGCGCCCGCCGAGGGCCCGGGGCCGGCGGGCTTCTGGGGCAGCTACAGCAAGTGTGACCTGCCCCTGCACACCATCGACGCGCTGCTGGCCCAGCTGCCCACCGGGAACGGCACCGGGAACGGCACCGGCGGCTTCGCGGCAGCCTACTGGACCGGGGACATCCCCGCGCACGACGTGTGGCAGCAGAGCCGCGGGGACCAGCTGCGCGCCCTGCGCACGGTGACCGCCCTGCTGCGCGCCCGCCTCGGCGGCCTGCGCGTCTTCCCCGCCGTGGGCAACCACGAGGCCACGCCGGTGAACGCCTTCCCGCCGCCCTACGTGCGCGGCAACCGCTCGGCCGCCTGGCTGTACGACGCCATGGCCGAGGCCTGGCAGCACTGGCTGCCCCCCGCCGCCCTGCGCACCCTGCGGTGGGCACCAGCTCGGGGCTGCCTCTGCCCGGGCGCTGCGCGGTCTGGGGCTGGGAGGGCAGGGGATGGGGCTTCCGGGCCACTGGGGGCTCGGGACTGGCAGGACACAGCGTGGTCTCCGTGCTGGAGGGGCAGTGGGGGGACCAGGCCAGCAGGGGCTGGGTGCAGATGTCTCAGCTTCACGGGGGGAGAGGCGCAAGGAGGGGGTCATGGCTGGCTGGGGTGCAGAGAGGGCTGTGGGGTAACGGGGGCTGTAGGTGGGTGGGCAGTGCGGGTGGCAGAGAGCTGGGGGTCCCTGGGATGGGTGCAGGGGCTGTGGCTCAGGGGACGCAGCACTGACCCCCTTTTTCCGCACAGGGCTGGCGGGTTCTACACGGCACAGGTCTGGCCTGGGCTGCGCCTCGTCTCCCTCAACATGAACTTCTGCTCCCAGGCCAACTTCTGGCTCCTCATCAACGCCACTGACCCGGCAGGGCAGCTCCAGTGGCTCATAGGGGTCCTGGCAGATGCTGAGCGTGATGGGGAGAAGGTGTGGGGGGGTGCTGGAGGGACACGGGGGGTCCCGGTGGGCCCCGGGCAAACCCCCAGCCCTGGCTCCCTGCCCACAGGTGCACATCATCGGGCACATCCCCCCAGCCCACTGTTTGCGCAGCTGGAGCTGGAACTACTACCGCATCGTCAGCAGGTCAGTGCCCGAGCCCTGCCCAGACCCCACACCACACACCAGACCCCTGACCAGGTCCCCATGTCCCACCAGTTACACCTGCCCCAGCCCACCTGCCAGACCCCCATTCCATGCCCTAGCCTCCATCCCCCTGAGCTGGACCCCTGTCCATGTGCCCTCGACCCCCACACCAGACCCCCCGCCCCACAAGCCAGAGCCTGGCCCCTCACCCTGAACTCCCATCCTACAATGGTCCCCCTGCCCTACACAACAGACCCCTGCCCCATATGCTGGAGCTCTGCACCAGACTCACCCCACACCCTGGGCTCTCTCTCCATGTACCATCCCATGCACCTGACTGCCTGGCCCCTGTGCCAGACCCCACCCCATGAACCCGGGACCCCCACATGCCGGACCAAGGGCCAGGGCTGGGGTTCTGGGGGGTCTGGGGATGCCAGGCCCGCTCACCCCACAGGTTCGAGGGCACCATCGCGGCGCAGTTCTTCGGGCACACACACCTGGACGAGTTCGAGCTGTTCTACGATGAGGAGACGCTGTCCCGTCCCGTCTCCATCGCCTTCATCGCACCGAGCGTCACCACCTACATCAGCCTCAACCCCGGTGCGCCCCGAGCCCCGCCGCGCGTCCCCGCAGCGCCGCGCTCCCGGTGCTGACCGTCCCTCCCGCCGCAGGGTACCGCGTCTACGAGGTGGCCGCCTCCTACCCCGGCAGCTCCCACGCGGTCCTGGACCACGAGACCTTCATCCTCAACCTGACGGAGGCCAACGCGGCGCCGCCGGGCACCGCGCCGCGCTGGCGGCGGCTCTACGGCGCACGCCAGGCCTACGGGCTGCCCGCGGCCTTCCCGGCCGACTGGGACCGGCTGGGGCGGCGCATGCAGGACGACGAGCCGCTCTTCCAGCTCTTCTGGTTCCACCTGCACAAGGGGCACCCGCCCCGCGAGCCCTGCGGCAGCCCCTGCAAGGCCGCGCTGCTCTGCGCCCTGCGCTCCGGCCGCGCCGCCGACCCCGCGCTCTGCCGGCCCCTGCGCCCCGCGCTGCCCTTCCCGCGCGTCCAGGAGCTCTGGCACCAGCGGCGCCTCTGCTGAGCCAGGGGCCAGCAGCAGCAGGGGCTG